GCATAGCACCAGTCAGTTTTTTACACTATTTTTTAAAGTATTCATTTAATCTTGTGTTTTGAAAGGAATCGGTTTGCCAGGGTTCTTAATTGATGCTTATTCGTACACAGTTTACGTAACTACTGCACGCAACTCAGAGTTACTGAAAACTGTCGTCTTAGTAGATCCTCTGATCAAATGATTATGCGAAGTTACACAGTTGGGAAAACTCAGTGGCTAATAAAAAAACGATAATAGTAAACCGGGATTCGAACCCAGGACCTTCTGATTACAAGGCAAGCTCGTATACTCCTAGGTTCTGTAATGGTTCTCTAACTAATGTCAGCTCATGATGAAATCCTGTAACCAATCAAATCCCTACAAACCAACACTTGAATAGTCTTCGGTTCATAATCATCATTGTATTCATAGGCAGGCAGACATGATTTTTTTTATTACAGCTTGATTCCACACCGTATTTTTGGTACGAGTATGGAATTCTGATCATGTGATATCGGTAGCTCAAATTTTGCAGGCCGACCATGGATATCAGGTGTGCGTCGGCAAGGGATCGAAACCCGGACCATGTGCATGGTCGGCGAGAGTCCTAACCACTGTGCCACCGACACACACAAACATCCAACAGCAGACATCTCATTTGATGACTGAAAATGTGGGTAGCATTGCATCATGTTTTTAGTGATTGTTATAGAGTTTTAAGGATAAATTTTATCATTCCATCGTTCACATGAGATTGTTGAAAGCTAACGTTGTCTGCTAGATATAGGATATAAGTTATCTGAAGATGTAGTAAATCTCCTTGGATTTGAAGTGTTTACAAAATATGTTGCTCATCCGACTCCGTTGTCTTCTAGATAAAGTTATGCCAGCTGAAGTAGTAATACGCTCATAAAGGATTGGGAAGAGTCACCCCAAAACTTGACAACACTCAACCACTTGCAGTTACACGCAACTGGCAACAAGTTACTTTATTGTGTGTGAGCTAATGGTACCACCAGTGGTTTGGAATAGACCGCCGAAACCACTTAGTCACTGCTGCACGAATCAATCCATGAAGTCATTGACTGTTTGCCTGTTTCAAACAGGAAAATATAACTTGCATTGTTAATGTCTTCGGTATGCTAAGAATCTGTGCAGACTCTTTGCCATATATCTCCAAATTGCTCACGATAGTATAATTCTTTGCCATTTTCAAAATTCTGAAAATCATTAATGTAATTATAACCTTTTGTCTCTCAACCATATTGGCTTATTGTAGTATCACTTTTGTATCTGTTATCTTTTCATGTCTACCGACGAGACGTGTACAACTTAAACCGACGCGACTCTGTCCAACGTAAGATATTGATTTGCCTGCCTATTACTGAAGTGTCAGTGGGGTAATGTCCTTTGTTAAAGAGGGAGGCTATAAAGAACGCCTCAACCATCTGCCATTCAATAGGTTATAAAGGCTTACTCTATTATTTTAATTTAATTTTAGATTTTCCCGTCGATTGGTTGGATCGAATTTCTTGGTCTCAGGTTGACATGTCGGCTTCTTGTGCAGATGCTTTGACGATGTCTGGGCATTTAATTAGTATTTAATTGATGGAAGGTGACTAGCAGTGGAATCCAGGTTGCAAATTTCGTCCTGTCTGGGACCCGTCAGCTGGATGTACCTGCATTCCACAGTGAGTGATGTTTCCACCGAGGCCGAACCCAGTGCCCATAGTTCCAAACGCCAAAGCGTTATCCACTAGACCACTTGGACCATGAGAGCCACTTCTTGTGCAACGGGTCATATTAATTTAATTGAATCTTAGATTTTCCCTTCGATTGATTGGATAACGCTTTGGCGTTTGAAACTATGGGCACTGGGTTCGAGCCTCGGTGGGAACATCATCACTCATTGAGAAAAGCAGGTACATCTAGTTGACGAGTCCCACATAGGACGAAATGCGCATCCTCGATTCCACTGCTAGTCACCATCCATCAATTAAATGCTTACTCTATTACTCAGATGAAAGTTAACAAGATTTCGACAAATCTAAAATCAAACGAATCAGTGAAACCAAGTTTTTTAAAATTTTTTCAAGAATAACAGTTCTTTCTTTTTATATGAATGAAATCAGATTTATAATTTTCATGTGATTATTTTTGGGGTAAGTATTTCTAGAATAGTGTCTAGTTCAGCTAAATGTTCAATAATATATTACCGCGTCTAACGTAAACTAATTTAAGCTACCTTGCCGCTTGAATATCATCAAAGGAATGAAAATAAAATAGGTAGATAACTAGATAAATTATATATGTCCAAACCAAGTTCACTTTTAACGGTTTGAAAAAATTTGGGCATTGGGTATATGATATTCATTCATTGGGAAATACAAAAAACTTTATTACTATGAACAAGATAAATTGTTGCGGTTCACCTACTTACTGGAATTAGAAATACATTAGTGCATTTGCGGGGATCTCACCAATAGAAAAGTCCAAGTATCTGTCCAAGGCTTATAGTTCTTGATGAATCTGAAACTCAAAGACAGTGGATTTTCTGCACCTGTATTTCTATGAATGACAATACAGGTAGATGGTCGTCATGATTTAAAGTGGAATGTCTAAACTATTGATCACTGATACTAAATATAATATCACTAGTATCACAATAGCAGCCTTAACAAACTCCAACAGTCATCATTTATGTATTCACTAATAAGGCAGACATGCATCAAAACTTCTGTAACTTCAATACTGCATGTTACTTTAAGTGTGTTAATATTTAGTATTTAAGAAACACACCCTAAATATTTCGATAGATTATCGGTTGGTATACCTTTGTGTTTTAATTTCATGTAGATTAAAGGGTACACTTTGTTCTTTTCAAAATTTAGCCAAGAATCTGAAATAAGTGGAAAATTTCAATAACTTGATTGTAACAACAACAAGAAGATATAAAGAGATTATACCAGAATAAATTAAATGAATTTATATCACCTACATTACCAACTCTCCGTAATTTTCCCACTAGAGAAGGCTTTAAGTAAAATAATGTACTCTATTCTTACGTCTTCCAGAATAAACACTTTTAACACATGTTTATAGATTAATGTCAAAAATATATTCTACAATGTGCGTCGGTGGCACAGTGGTTAGGACTCTCGCCGACCATGCACATGGTCCGAGGTTCGATCCCCTGCCGGCGCACGCCTGATATCTATGGTCGGCCTACAAAATTTGGGCTACCGATATGCATGCTGAAAATTCCATACTCGTACTAAAAATACGGTGTGGAATCAAGCTGTAATCAAAAACATGAAATAAATAAAAATATTACAACAAAAGTACATTAGGATTTAAAGGCTAATTAACATCTCGTTGATTGATTATATTGGACTGAAACTCTCGATATCGGTTATCGTGCTGTTTCATAGTACGAATGCTTCGACGATGTCTAAGAATTATTTTGTTCGACGGTGACTATCAGTGGAATACGGATTGTGTATATCATCCTGTCTTTGTACTCGTCATCTGGATATACCTGAAATCCCAAGTGTATGATGATGTTCCCACTGAGACTCGAACCCATCATTTCAAACGCATCTTGGATTCTGCTGCTAGTCACCATTAATCACAAGTTCATCAGTAAATTTCGTGGTACTATTGAGATTAGGGGTCTTTTTTAGAGGATAATGTTCGTTTCTTTGATTGGACACTAGCACCTAGTGTGATTTGTCTAGTCCTTTCCTTGGTGCAGACTGAATCCTATCAGTCAGGTTTGTAATGTGGCCACCATTCTAGGTAGATCGCCATCACAGTGTACATTGATTTGACGATATTAGATGGCTGGAAGCAATCGGCCACAGGAAGCCTCGCTTGATTTAGGTTTTGTGCTAGCTGGCACGCACTAGTCAGCAAGGCGTATCTGCAACCTTGAAGGAACTCATGTCCCTTCTGAGATTCGTACCCACGTCACCCAGTGCCACCTGCAGTCAAAGACGTCACCATCTAATAACATCAAATCAATGTACACTGTGATGGCGAGCTACCTAGAATTGTGGCCACATTACAAACCTGACTGACAGAATTCAGTCTACACCAAAGAAAGGACTAGACACATCACACTAGTTACTAGTAGCCAATCAAAGTATTCACTACAGTCCTACAGGAGGTCAATCGCGAGCCCGAATAGCTCAGTGGTAACGTCTCTGACTGCAGGATTGGGTGACGCGAGTTCGAATCTCAGAAGGGACATGAGTTCCTTCAAGGTTGTAGATACGCCTTGCTGACCAGTGAGTGCCGGCTAGCACGAAACCTAGGTCCAAGGCTTCGTGTGGCCGATTGCCTCCAACCATTTAATATCATCAAATGTTCATTGCTTTCAGGATTAAAGAAGTCAAGACACTATGGAAGCGCCCGATAAATTATTTTATGAGTAAATGCAAAGCCTATGCATAAGAGTGTATTTTACTATTAGTTGGTTAGGTGCAATCGATAGGAAGCCTTGGACGTAGGTTTCGTGCTTGTTACCACTCTTTAGCAAGGTGTATCTGCAATTTTGAAGGAACTTATGCCTCTTCTGGGATTCAAGCCTGTATCATCCACTACTGCAGCTAAAGATGTTACCACCGAGGAGCTATTCTGGCCTTGAGATTGACCTGCTGTAGGGCTGCCGATGGACAGTAGGTAGTGACTAGTATCATGCACATAATCTTTCGTTTTGGTGTAAACTTGACTGAAAGAATTTAGTCAGCACCGAAACGAAGCGCTAGACGCATGAGATTAGTTGCCATCTAATAATAGAGTCAAAGTATAAATGTATTTTAGAATGTTCTTTTACACTGTTAATTAGTGAATTCATACCTCACCGTTTTTATTTTTGTCAGAAAATCAATCGTCCTCAATTTTCTCCTAAGAGAAACATAAAGTAAAGAGTGGAACGTTATATATATATATATATATAGACATTTAATTATGTCATATGACAAGCTATACAATCCTTAGCATGAACAAATGTTTACGTCTGTGCCAGAATGAGAACACTTCTATTTTGTTTGTCATAATTATACACATTTTTACTGCTTAGTTTAAAAATGGGTCTCAAAACATTTTCAATATTTCACAATGACAATAGGCATTAGTTATGTTCGAAATATTCCCAATATTAAAAAAAAATATCCTTGTGCGTAGACTACTGTTGAAATACGACTATACAATTTTAGAGCTACATATATTGAAGCTGTAATCTGTTTCTCGTCCCTACAATGGACTTATAACCTCTATAACATGTGCCTTAAAACCAATCAATTCTTCATAAAATAGGTGGATAAGGAATGCTTTTGTTTTTTCTGTTTTACCTGTATTCTATTTTGGGGTGATCTCAGTTACAAAACTACGTCAACTGGATAACCACTGGAAATCAGACAATACTGAACAATAAATACTCTTTTGTGCAATTTCGGTATATAATAAATACACGTGTAGAGTTATTTCATGCTAGTGGTAAGCCCTGTTAGAACGGGCAAGCTTCTTTGTTGGCCATGAATTCGTGATTTATGCATGTTCCCTGACATGATAACCTTAGTGGACATTTTTAATTTGTTTATTTTTGGCTTGATTTTCGGAAGGATTTCGATGCCACCCGACCAATCAGATTTGTTCTATTTTTGGCTTAAATTTCTGAGGGTTCGGTATAGTATAGTATACCATACTATGTATTTCTTCTAATAGAGGTTGTTGTTATTGTCACTCTGGACATCGGTTTTCCCATTCTGACTTTTTTGTTCATCTCGTCCTGGGATATAATTTCAAGTGATCACTTGGTTATAGTGTCATGTTCTGGAGGCACATTCTTCTAATCAAATCTAAATTACTCATCTTCGCGGGGTCAATCATGCTACATTTAGCTAAATTCCGATGTCTTGATAATCTATCCTCGACCTAGTGGTTGGACCCATGTAGTTAACCCTGTGAAAGAAAGATGAATAGAAAGCGAGGTCAGTTAGAGAATCTTTGTTCATCGAATCTACATCCAACGCACGCAACAGGAATGACTCATCACTGATTCCAGAGATATGGTAAATATTACCATCAATCAAATCGAGAAATGAGAAATAAGAGAATTATATAGTCTAAGTTGAAAGGTTGTATGACTACCTTGATATCATTATGAGCAGTAGATTGTGATGGAAACTTCATCACTGAATAATACTGTGCGACACTGTGCTACTTTATCAAATAAATTTACTTACATTAATTCTCATTTAATTGGTCAGTTCAAAATTGTGTATATTTAGACGTTTTCAACATTGTCCGATGAGCGTTGCGTATACACGCACCTAGTTCGAACACACTCAATATTCAACTTATTTACTAAAAAAACTCCTGTGTTCAGTAACTAAAACCTCTATGACTTGGCCTCACCTGAACTTTATCAAAATGGTTTAACACTTTCAAAAATATTCTCGATATTTTATTTTATTTAATGTGATCTGTCTCTTGATAATGTGGACTGCAATGTCTTTTATCTGATTTAGTCATTTAATGCACTTTGGTGATATGATATTCGATCAGTGATACTTTTATCATTGTAATAGGATACTATTGTAACAACAGAAAACAAGGGCTGGCAACATATCGTTTTATTACGGAAATAAGCACGTATTTATATATATTTTCTGTACATTATTAAAGCTTATTCAAGCAGACAAACGCCATCTTCTGACTGGTTGTTTCTGGTTTCTCGGAAAGTTAAGTCATCTTTCTGCGAATCTTATTTGCCCACGTTAAGTCTGCTGTGATTGGTTGTTGAATCAACCTTGTTCATATTTTCTCACGGCCAATATTAGTGACCTAGACATTGACGTAAATTAATGCCTACCAATTGGCTAGCAGTCTGCTCTCACCACACTATGATGTTGCTTTATGGCTTAAACCCCTTAACTTTCATCCGCTAGGTCCTTGGTTTGAGTCCCACTCTGTTTTCTTCAGTCTGGGTAACTGGATAATATCATCAGCACTCAAACGACAAGTGTAGCTGCTAGTTTGATGCATAAAAGACCCGGATCTTTGAGTTCAAATAGTCAACACTTTGACTTTATATTTAGATGACTTCATTTTACGCACCATATATATTCTCACAATTATTTAGTGTTTAGGTTTTCTTCTCTTAGATAATAAATGTATAACCTGTATATCTCAATGCCCATGTTGATCTTCTTTTTCTTAAAAAATTTCAGAATTATAATTAATATGAATACACCAAGTACCCAAAATAATGCTGATGACCATCATCATCATACGTCTTCTGTACATGAATCAACTGTAATCGGTGAAAATTGTCCAAGTTGTCGTGTAGTCAGTTCAGTTATTCCAATAACCCTATCGGCCTACATTATGTATGTGTGTAAGGATCAATTATTTAAATATGCTGGTGCACAAAAAGTTTCATATTTGACAATATGTACTGGGATGTCCGTAGGTAAGTTATATTGAGTGCGTTGTGAACACCTGCTCATCCAATGCTCTGGTACTTTTATTTTACAGATGAATTTCAAATGAAGTACTTTAAGTATCTACATTATGATAAATAAAGAATACAATTTAAGCAGATATACGTCTTTGATAATCGCTTATCAGATTTGAAATTTACGTCTTATAAAGATTCAGCATAGATGTTTAATACCACTGTAGTTGATAGATTTAAATTTCGAGCATACGATGAATGATGAGTGTTTAGTTCTAGCTTGACAGCGAAATTTGTCGTTAAACAGATGCAGCGATTCAAGTGTTGGTTTGCAGGGATTTGACTGGTTTCGGAATTTCATCATGAATTGACATCGGTTAGCGGACCATTGGAAGACCTGGGAGTACTGGATAGCTGTTTCGTCCTAGTTTTGGACTCTCCATCAGTACACATTCGCTGAGTTTCAAACCCAGGACCTTCTGGTTACAAAGCGAGCTCGTAGACCATTAAACCACTGGGACCCGACCAAATGGTCAATGAATTCCAACTTCTGCAATTTCATGATACGGCGCAACCACCGGTGGATGCCATCGGCGAGTATTTGTCTTCACATTCGACCTGCTGTACACCACTGGTCACAACTTTCCACCAAGGGACTGACCGTCAGATTGGGTTCCAGTGGCTTAATGGTCTACGAGATCGCCTTGTAACCGGGAGATCCTGGTTTTGAGCTCTTGTGGTGGGTGCGTACTGGGACTAGGATGAAACGGCTGGCTGTTTAGTACTCCTAGCCTTTCCAGTCGTTTCATGATGAAATCCTGAGATGTAGTAATGTTTCCCTGTGGGCACAATTTTTACCTACGCGTCTATGACATCATTAGAAATTAAAGCCACAAAAAGTTTTAACAGACACACAGTCGTTCTATCTGATTCGGTAATAACAGGAATGCTGAGGTCCTTCTAGAAATGTTTAAAGTGACTCAATCACAATTATGTACACATATTACTATCTATTACCTCTTGATACTGTTCTATTAAGAAAGTTAGATGGTGGTAGGTGGCACTAAGCTGAGCATTTTTTTCTCTCGTAAGAAGTCATAATTCAATCGCTACACATAATTCAGATCACTTATTTGTCTTGAATTCAAATGAAATTTGATCATTACCGTGTTATCGCATCATAGATAGAACGACTCTGTAGGCCTAATATCATTTCACTGACCCACTAATCACTGTGACTAGGAAACGAAATGTTAAAATCTTCCAAGAGTTTTATACTGGATACTCAAGACTAGACTGACACTAGTTCGGTTCTTTGCATTCTGTACAAGGCATCAGGTCATTTCTTTAGTTTTAGATGTTCCAACTGGTGTGTAACTAGAACCAAGATAGTTGCCTTCAGAATTCGTCAACTTTGTTAGATAGAGAAAAGATTTGTTCAGTCACTTCCTCTCTCTCTCTCATAGACTTCATCTTCACAATCCACTCATAACCAGAATAATTCTTCCTTTCAGTCACACTGGATAATTGTAAATGTTATCTCTATAATTTTTGTTATATCGGTGGCACAGCGGTTAGGACTCTCGCCGACTATGCACATGGTTCGGAGTTCGATCGTCTGCCGACGCACACCTGATATCAATGGTTGGCTTGCAAAATTTGGGCTACCGATATTACATGCTGAAAATTCCATAATTGTACCAAAATACGGTGTGGAATCAAGCTATAATTAAAAAAAATAAAAAAATATTCAGTTAAAACTGATTATTTTATTTATACTTAGTTTCACAATTGATTCTAAAATCAAATACTGTCTTTTTTAATCACTGCATCTCTGTCTCTCTCTCTCCTCATATTCCTACACATATGCACCATCTGCTTAAACACATATGGTGACTAGCAGTCTTGACTATTATATAAGCGCACACATGATTTTATTATTATTATTATAATGATTACCTTGTTCGGTAATTCGTACTCTTGAGTTTTGATTCCAACTACCACGATTGTATCAAATGTTTATTCTGAATAATTTGAACATGTAGTTTTAAAGAGTTCTAAGAAATTACTTAAATTAGTGTATTTACTTAAAGTACTTTAGCTTGAGACACTTATTCAAGTTTAATTTCTTGAAAAAAAAGATTTGTAGTGCGTAATTTTAATCGTAGTGCGCGATTTCAATTTTTATACTTAAACAGTATAGATACGATATAAATATATAATTGGTTGGTTTCAGTAGATTCTTTATGATTACCACTGGTTGGGAAATCTTGTCCAGTCGTAGTATCACTTAGCCAAAGTTGGTCAATGCAATTGTCTACAACGGTGGTTATGATACAGTTGAAGTGAAATCATGCTATTTTTTCTAGCCCCTCACAAGAGTAAAATTATGTCTCATAAAAAAATTTACATTATTTCATAGGGTGTGTAAATAATAATATTAATAAAAATAATAATTTACTTTATTCCAAAAACAGTACTGATAATACAGAATGGAATTCTCAGCATTTGTCACAATATTGCATCTGATTTACCTAAAATATAAATAAAATTAAAAATTAAAACCAAAGCAACCAGAAGAATTTGTCCACGTTTACGATTTAAAGTCAAAAATATTCTAAGCACGAATTGAGATCATTAAATATAATAATAATAACAGTGAGTTTGTTTCTAACAGTATTGTCGATTCAGTTTGGAAATTTTAGCATGTTATTATAGAGTATTGAATCTAATGTCTGTTGATATACTATAGTGAGGCGAAATACAAGATTAACAGTGGTAACACAGCTTAAACGATGTTCACACTTATGAAAAATAAATAAAAAAAATTGAGAGGATTATAAATATAAGAAATACAATAACAATAAAGTTTGGTACCGTAAGGGTGGAAGAAATGGTGGACGTCTTCATTTCATGTGAATATGTAAATAATTTGTTTTGCATAGATGGTGACTTGTATCAGTGATTCAGTGGTAGAATGCGCTTGCCAACCATGCACACGTCATCTGGGATTCGATCCCCAGTCGATCCATTCCTAAACTTCACCTAGCCGATATTAAGCCCTCGAAAGAGGGTTGTGGGGAGGTTGTTGGGCGTGAGGCTACCAACCCCACCTTGTTAAATCAACATCATGCCTACTGAAACTTCAAGGCCTCAGACTTGAAGTTCTATGTTTCATTCAGAACTTAAAGAATGAAGAGAGAGAGATGATCACTTAATGATCAGTTGTATTCTGAAGGAGTTCCTGTAGTCCTGGTGGTGTAACAGCAGAAGACAATGGCCACGCAACAAATCGTTTATTAAGGAAATCAACACATATTTATATATTTTCATGTACATTGTTATACATTATTGTTAGCTGACAAACACAGTCTTCTGATTGGTTGTCTCTCACAGATAGTTAACTTTGCATCTCTTTGTGGCTGTTTCTTAAATATCAGATCATCTATATGTTAACTGTATCCGCCTACGCAAAGTCTTTGTTCTCATTTTTCTCATGACCAATATTGGGGACATAAACATTGACGTAAATTACTGTCTACCAATTTCGCTAGCAGCCAGCTCTCACTGCAGTATTTGTAGGTGCGGTTCAAAATCCGTTTATAATGTTAATTCTTATTTTCAGTTGATTGATGAATCAGTTCAGCACAGGATGTCTACAACCATGCGTGTATTCTAGTACTCCGCTAAGGATGTATATCTTTATTTAATTAGCTTCATTTACATCTTTGATTCGTAGAGGGAATTTCTTTTCTCATTTTCATAGTGTTTCAACTCCAGCGGGCAATTCAGTTTCAAATAAACCTTAAGATCTAGAATTTTTTAAAATAAAATTTCTAAATTTTAATGTTGTTTTGCAGGCATTTGACTGGTTACAGATTAGATTACGAGGTATCATCATTTCGAGAACCAAGGGGTACTGAGTAGGTGTTTCGTCACAGTTTGGGACTCTTCATCGTTATCTACCCACAGGGGTTCGAACCCAGGACCTTCCAGTTACGGTCACAAAGTCATAATGCTTGATGCATACAATTTTTCCTAATTATCACGAAATGTGTTCTGTAAAATGCTTATCCTCTAGATAAGTTTAAAAGTGAGGAGCATTATGAATAATCCAGAGAAATTATATTATAACTCATATAATTCTATAAGCAGAATGTCATATCTGTTCATATTCAGTTGGTTAATATTATCCAACTGCGCCTATCATTATGGTTAGGTTGGATGTTATTATAACTCGTGCTTATGTGCTTAAGGCTAAATAAAAAAGCCAGTGTATATCTGTAAAATTGATCATGACTAGGATATACCAAGATTGGATAATATGGATCATATTCCCCTAAGTTTTCTTATCTGTCCCATCTGCATCTTCCTTTCTTCAAGTACGCAGACTATATTGCATCGTGTCTTGTTTACTCAGCTAACTTACTTTTATTGCTAAAGGAATAGAATTTGGGCACTGTGGTAGAGTATAATTTTATCACGAAATAATTTTGATATGATTAAAAACAGTATTAGTTACTGATAACGTTTCAGGGAACAATTTATTCCTCATAAATTCTTCATATCAAGGCGTTCACATAACTCCCAAACATTTCTATCCTTTGATTTCATTGATAGTGGCAGTATTTTCCGTATCTCTGGCACCGGCGTTGCGTCGTCTCTTTTTCACGTGTTAGATGTAGATTCAATGAAAAAAAAACTCAGCAGTCAACCTCTACTTCCACCACCCATATTACTTTGTAGAACTAGAGCTCTATCCCACACTAATATGTGATTGTGTTTTAATACATGCCTTGCGATTGATTGCTAACTTTTTCTCCAAAGGAGAGGTTGGTCTTTGTTCACTGAATCTACACCTAACGTGTGCAGTGGGAATGATGATACAACGTCGGTAGCAGAGATGTATGGAAAATATTACTACCAATAAAATGGAAGGAACAAAGTTTGGGGGTTATTTAAGCTCTCTAATGTGGTTATGACCAATAAATTGTGCATTCACTTAAACATTTGTG